CGTCCGATGTTCTGGAACCTCCCCTGATGGCGACGCTTCCCCAGCGCCCCCACAGCTCCTTGGATGGCGATGGCCCATCGTAGGGGCCTCCACTCTACTGGCGCCCGCTTCCAGACGCTTCCCCGCAGTGGTGTTCAGCTCCGAAACCACTTGGCGCGTGGTTTTTCCGCGCGCGCCCCGTGCGATGGATCGACGATCCCTCCGGCGGATGGCCAGGCGTAATCGGCACGGTCGCTTGATCGATCTCGACGCGGCGCGGACATGGTGGGCCCCTTGGCGGAACGGCCTCTGCGGTGCGTCGGTCGGAAGGGCAGATTGGGTCTGGCGTTGCCTTGTGCGCGGTTCGCAGGCAGGCAGTGATAGCAAAACGGATGTTCGTTACAGGGTTCCCAGCGTCTTGTCCCCGCGGCACACAGCACGGTTACATAACCCTCAAGTCACCCTGTACTTAAACCACCGCCCCCACAAGCACCCAGACCATCCCCGAAGCCCTCTTTCCAATGCAGCGATATGGCCCGAAAATGGCCAAAATCCCGAAATCGCCTCGCTGCGCTCGATGCTCACCCAAGGCGCGGATAATTTGTCCACGCGCCTTTGCGTCGCATCTCACTCCGCTCGTATAAAGAACCAAAGACAATGTTCACACAACAGTGGCGATGTGCCTGGACGTGCACATGTGTTGTCTTGTCTTGATGTGATAGCGATGGTGTACCGTACTAACTAGTACCCAGGGGTATCGACAACCCCCTATGATAACCAGCCCAATAGGGCTACGGTTACGATAGTGTAGGGGTTAGAGTTGCTACACCAGTACTAGGGCGGTGGCCACCGGTACCTGGGGTACCCCCAGGTACCGACGCTTGGGTGTGGCCCCAAGTACGTAGTACTTGGGGTCCGGTGTTGGGTCCCGGCTTAATGGCCTTCGAGCGCCCGCATTGGAAGGCTTCTCTCACCCCCTGTTGCACGCTGCCGCGCAACATCTGGTTTTGGAGCCGAGTTCTCACGAACCCGGCAACCTTTTTTAGCCCCACCCACCCTCGCGGTGCGGCCCCTCCCCCTCTGTCGTTGGGCCGCTCTGCCTCCCTTCGATCGCCGCCCTCGCTGCACCCCCGCCATTTTCTGCCATCTCCATCGCCATGTTTGAGGAGGCGACTTCCGGCCAGGCCATCGGCGACGATGTGGATGATTAGCCGCTACCGGCCGTTTCTGCAGTGCAGCCGGGCGGCGTGGTCTCCACGCAACCGCTCGGCACGCCCCTCCGGGCCCATTCGGCCGAGGGGGGCACATTTTCAAATCGGCGGGGGGGAAACATGCCCCCCACCTCCTCCCCTCCTCGGGCGAGTACACCCCTGCCGGCGCGCCCGATCGCTGTGGCGCCCGATGCCTTTTCTCGCAGCCCAAACCACCCTCCTCACCCCGTTGCCTTGGGGCCGCCTGCCCTGCCTGATGCCCGCGCCTTGGCTGGGCAACTCCTTCCGTTTTTGGAGGAGCATCTCTGCCACATGTTGGCGGGGGTGGGACCCTCCAGCTGCCCTCCCACCTTGCCGAGTTCTGGCCCGATCGCGGCCACCACTCCTCTCGCCCCTGTGCCCATCTTTTCGGTGGCTGAAGTGGGCTCAATCTCCGGTCCTTTTTGGCAATTCCAGCCACCTTGGCGGGTTCTGTGGCGGCTTTGACTGTGGTCCCACCCGCCTCGGGATTGGCGGCGTCCTCTGGTCTTGGGGGCCCGATGGGTACCCAGATCGGCTCCCTGCTGCTTCCTGGTTCGGAATCACGGGGAGAGGCTTTGGCTGTGCCTTCCCTATCTGCTCTGCCGTAGGTTGCCCTGCCCTCCCTCGGATCTGCTTCCACCGACGAGCTCTCTCGTCAGGTGGTGTTCCTTCAGGGCCAGCTGTCCGCACCTAGAGGCCTACCCTCGCGGTTCAGCTGCTGGCACCTCCGGCTCTCCTCCTCTCTTGCACTGAGTTTGCAATCAATAATGCGAAACAAGAGAGTACAGGTTTCTCCCTATTCTTTCTCAACTATGGGCGCCATCCTCAGACTCCTTTCTCTCAGTCACTGCCTCTCAAACAACGCACCTCGCTGCCCCTTTGCAGCAATGGCCGCGGCCCCCAGCGTCGGCCTGCCAAGGCTTGGGCTCAAGCCCGCTTGCCTCAAATCCCCGGTGTGCCTGCCTTCCTCCTGGATTGGGAATCCACGTTACACCCCACCAAGCAGTGTTTGCAGAATGCCCAACAGCGCATGAAGCACTGAGCAGATCTTCGCTGGAAGGCAGAGTCGTTTTAGGTGGGGGATCTGGTGCTTTTGTCCACCCAGAACCTCCACTTGAAACACCCCGGTACCAAAAAGCTCCTGCCCAAGTGGCTGGGCCCATTTTGGATTCAGACGTGCATCAACCCCGTCGCCTTCCGGCTGGATCTGCTCATTGCCCTGTGCCGGTTGCACCCGGTCTTCCATGTCTCCCTGCTTCGCCGGTATATCCAGGGCCATTTGGTGTTGTCGCCTCCCCCTCCCCCTGTTCTTTTGGATGAGGAACTCGAGTATGAGGTCGAGGCCCTCCTCCAGAAAACCATAGTCTGGCGTGGCCGGACCAGTCAGCCCTACTACTTGGTTAAATGGAAGGGTTATGACATGGGTCACAATTCCTGGGAGCCTCTCCGCAACCTCACCCACTGTGAGGAAGCGTTGCAGCGCTTTGCGCTCCAGGCTCAGCAGGACCCTTCGCTCATTCGCCCTCCTAAAGAGGCATTCCAGCCGCCGCTCCGGCGCCCTCCATTGCCTTCGACCTAGCCCTTGGCTGGTCCACATGCTCCTCTTGAGCCCTTCTTTTTGTGCCTTGTTTTGCAGCCCTCCTCTCCGGCTGGATGAGCCTGCTCACCCTTCCCCGCTATTTACCGGGGGGGTCGCTTGTGGGACGATCGATGGTTCCCTCTCTTGCTCTGGCTGGATCGGCTGGATGCTTGAACCACCCCCCCCCCCCCCCTGTGGGGGTGCTCTGGGGGGCATTCTTCTCTTTTGTTTTCTTTGCCCTCCCCTTTCTAGCTGTCCAAGGGTTGCGGCGTGCATTGGGTACTATTGCGGCCCCTCTAGGGTGCCCGCATTGTCTCCCATTACTTTGTACTGGTCTAGAGGTACGCGATGCAGAGTTTTCCATGGATTGTAGGAGGGGGGCTGCACTGGACATGCCACCCCCTTCTTTACTCATCGCCCCTTGTTATGCCTCTTGTCCATTTTGGGGGGCAGTTACGGCTGTCCTCCCCCTCTTGTTTGCATTCTCCCACCACCACTTTTCACTGAGGGGAACTTTCGGCGGTTTCGGGAAACGTCAATTGTCCCATCCCTGACCACTCCCCGCGTTCTCCCCGGCCATGCTCTGGCAGCCTATTTTTGGTTTGGGGCCATTCCCCCTGCACACTTTATTCTCACGCTGCCACTCCTCCCTACCAGTGTTTTGGGAAATTCTCGCCGGGCCAGGTGGCTGTCTCTCATGGGCCAGCACCCCCCTTCACCCCCGTGCGCACTTGCTCGCACCCATTGAGGTCCTTCGGGGCTGCCCCATCCGCTCGTCCATCTTCCTGACCGGGTCATGCCCCACAGTCTCCCCGCCAGGTGTTCCAGCGTGGTCTGGCCTATCCCACCGCCGATTTCCTCACCCTGCTTCAGCGGACATACTCACTTTAGTTACATTATGCCTTGGAGGGGGGCGCTCCCCTTCGCTGGTGCATCTTAGCGGGCCCCTGGAATTTCCCGTGGCCCTCCCTCCTCGCTCTGCCTCACCTCATCTCCGGCTTTCGTTGCCCCCGCACTCTCTTCGCCCCCCGCCCATTCGGCGGGCTCCTGGCGCTCCCCCTCCCACAGTATCTCCCGCTTCTCACGTCGGATTGTCAAGTCTTGTCCTCCCAACCCTCCCGGCACACTCGCACTCTGACGTCGCGGGTCGCGACTACAGGGGGGGGGGGGTACCAGGGGGTATCGACAACCCCCTACGATAACCAGCCCAATAGGGCTACGGTTACAATAGTGTAGGGGTTAGAGTTGGTACACCGGTACTAGGGCGGTGGCCACCGGTATCTGGGGTACCCCCAGATACCAGCACTCGGGTGTGGCCCCAAGTACGTAGTACTTGGGGTCCGGTGTTGGGTCCCGGCTTAATGGCCTTCGAGCGCCCGCACTGGAAGGCTTCTCTCACCCCCTGCTGTGCGCTGCCGCGCAACAGATGGATCCACAATTAGGCATCGCACATGCAGATTTGTGCACGCGCATGCTATGAATCGTGTAACCGTTCTGGCCTATTATGTGGCCTCCCGCAAGCCAACGAACCACCGCCTCGCCGTGCCGCCACCGCTTGCCAACAGCAGGCCCCGGGGATCGATCCCCGTCGAGCATTGGGCCCACCGCGCGACCGCCGAATCGACTGCCCCGATTATGCCCACCATTCGAGGTGGAGAGGCTAGCTGACCTCCAACGGCTGTGCTGCAGGGCAGGGCGACCCCAAAGCCTCCGGAAACCAGCCGCCGCCGATGGGCCGCAACAACAGTTAAAGTGAATTTGGACACGAAATGAAGAGGTCACGGTGGTCATCCGTTGACCAAAGAACAAGTGACATTGCTTTATAGGAGCTGTCAAGAAGCCATAGAAAAGTAGTCAATGCCTTGATTGGTATTGTAGGAAGTCGGACTGTGGCTCATCAGCCCGAATGGGCAACCACACAAGGGTCTTAGAACAACCTACATCTAGACCAAGCCTACAGAAAAGCAGCAAGCAAATGGCTTTGAAATACTACGGTGGGCTCTGCCACAGGGCGGAGCGTTTCCTAAAACTACCCTGCTGCCCAAACAAACCCAGGCCTCGCTCAACACGCCAACATCGATGTTGACGTCGGTGATAGTGGTGATTGTCGGTGATATCACCGAGCAGGTTCCCATCGATTTCCCGGCCCCCGCTGCCACATTCCGCCCGCCTCCCACAGCTGTTCCCACGCCTCCAGTCGCACGATGCAGCGCCGCAGCGTCGCCTCCTTCGGCGTCGTGCCCCTGCGTCTGGTCGACGGCCGCTGGCAGGCCTTCCTGGTCCGCCACCACGCCGGCCACTGGGGCTTCCCCAAGGGCCGGCCGGAGGGCGTTGAGGCGCCACGGGCCACCGCCGAACGGGAGCTGCGCGAGGAGGCAGGGCTGGCCGTCGTGGCCTTCCTGCCCCTGGAGCCCATCAGCGAGTCCTACGCCTACACGAGGCGGGGCACCAGGTAGGAGGGGGAACGCCAGTAATAAGGAAGGCCTTTTGCCAGGTGACCTGACGCGTAGCTGCAACGACATGCCGCCAAGTGGTGGGAGAAGATGGACTCCTGGCTGTGATGACCAGTGGAAAGCTGAAGAGCTAAGTTTCCAGCACATGGGCCGGGCAAAATTGCCCAGCGAAGAAGCTCGACGTGCAAATGGCATGGAGAACTCGAGCGTGGTTGGCCTCCCCCCCTTCCCTTGGGGCATTGTGCAAGGTCAGTCCTTTGTCGCGGTTTCAAACAAGTGTGACAACGGAGAATTCGCGGCAGGTGGGACAAGACAGTGACGTTTTACTTCGCCACGGTGACGGGAAAGCCGGCGCTACAGGCGGAGGAGATCGCGGAGGGGACGTGGGCGGGGCTGGAGGCGCTGGACGGATACGCGAAGTGGGATGAGGATCGGGAACGATACCGCAGAGTGCGGGAGGCCGTTGCAGGGCTGGGGGAGGGATGTCCGCAGGGTTCCGGAGTCTAACGCGAATAGTTAAAATGGTGCGCTTGAAGACCAAAAGGAACAGGTGTTATGTTTCAACTCCTTGATTCGTTCGTGGGCGTGACGCTGGCGTCACGGGTGGGAAGATGTTGTTCTACCTGTGGAGTCGCTGGGCCGGGGAAAAAGGCACAGCGTGGATTTGGGAATGCCATGAAGATTGGCGGTGTCAAGAATCGAATGAAATGCCTCAATTCGCAACAGAAATGTCAGACAGGGAGGCGACATACTAAGCCTGGGATTTGGGGGATCGTGTGCGTGGATTCCTTCTTAGCAGTATCCCAGTTCCACTGTCCGTAAGTAGCTGTCTCCTTTAGCGTAAGCCAAAATTTACCATGAGAACGAAGTCAGTGATAAATACAACGCCATATTCAGAAAGACCAGATCCCAAGAACTTAGAGAACACTTTTCCCACCATGAATTGCCATCATTCAGTCCAGTATGTACGGCTCCAAATGCGCCACTTTTTTGGCAGGAATCGGCAATGCGCATACCCCGCCAGAACTGTCGTTTCTATTATACTCACCGGTGCCTGCGCCTTAGCAGTCCCAGTGGTTGAAGACGATCACCGC